ATATTAAATAATATTTGTTTGATATTTTTACTATGATCCCTAACTTTTCAAGTTTTTATTGTTTGATAAAAAATTAACAAATTAGATACTTGTCTAATATTGATTGCCGACTTTTCAAGGTTTTATTTTGGATGTTAAAAGTATCAACTATCCATGTAAATTACTTTTCTCATACTTTATTTATCATCGCCGCCTTTTCAACTTTTTATTAGAATATCAAAAATATCTAAATAAAAATGTTGTCTAATAATTTAGTTCTTGATCGTCGACTTTCAAAGTTTTTATTGCATATTAAGTAATAGTGGTTTGATGTTTGAATGTGATCGCCGACTTTTCAAATTTTTATTGAGAGATTAAAATCTATAAAGTAGATAATTGTCGATATTAGTCGCCGAATTTTCAATTTTTTATTGTTGGATGTTAATATGATCAACCTATCTAGGTAAATTAGTTATCTGATACTTTAGTTGTGATCGCCTCCTTTTCATAATTTTATCATAATTAAAAACATCTAAAGAAAAAAGTTTTTGAATACTTTTTTTATCGCCAATATTTTAAAGGTTGACATAACTCAAATATTTTAATTATAATTAGTGTTTTAATATCAAATTTCTTTTTTAGTTTTTTGAAGAAAAAGGTGAATTAATATTAGTGGATATAAAATTTACTTGTAATATTGATTTATATTTCAAAAAAATTATTTTTAAAAGTATATATTTATTCCTATTCAAAATTATTAAAAATCGAGCTATAAATTACCATTGGAAGAGTATTCGATATATTTTGTCAGTAACTTATGATTCATTATATTTTAATATTTTGTATCATCTATTTATTATTTATAACAAAAAAAGACACAAGAAACTAATAGAGACTTTAAAAGTCACACAATGAGAGACAAACTAATAGTGACGAGGCCCATTGTTAGGATGAGCTTGTTTAAACTCTTATTCTTGGATTTGGTTACAATTCATAACATCTAATCCAAACAACAACATTTGAATAGGAGTAGGCATTCCGTTTTGATCAAAGAAATCCTTGTTTGTTGAGATATTACCACCAGTAACAGTTGTTAGAGCAGCATCATTGCTAGAACTTTCGACATAGTAGTTTGGGCTAAAGAAATTGAGAGGCTATTTCATCAACTTCAAGAACATGTTTCATACACGTTAATTGAGTTAAGTTGAGTTCTTTTCGAGAGTTTCTCCACCACTTGTCAGCGTTCTTGTTTTCTCCTTCATTTTGGACTAACGAATGCAGCTTGTTCTTTTGTTCTTTTTCTTTTTCGGCCATCACCTACGATAAAATTATATTTAATACAATTAAACTCACGAATATGAATGTATAAAGAAAATCCACGGATATGTCTTAAACACAAATATACAACGAGACGATTTTTTCTAGTGTATGACTTATTAAATATATGTATGTAGAATGTTAATATCAAAGAGAAATTGTGTGTATATTTTGAAAAGAAGTTTTACTGTAACACCCCAACCGTCTTTACAAGTGAACACCTACATCCTCTCTTAGGCCCGTGGGCCGACCTCTGTCCGACGGTCGGTCTGCTACGTCCGGGAGACTTCAAAGACTTGTTCACCGATCCTACAAATCACCACATGATATTTCTCCGTGTTTTGTCCCCACTCGCACGATTCCGACTATCACTTTCTGGAAGGTCACCCATCTTGAAACTTTCTCAGCTCAAGTACACTTAACTGTAGAGTTCTCTCAGGACGTTTGACCGAAAAGATAAGTGCACTTCGGTGACATAGGTGGCCAAATCAATTCTTTTAAACCTCTCTGCATGCACCACCATATTCCTGAAACTGAGTTGTTACATTTACCATATATTTTTCAAATCAAAAACAAATTTTGAAACAGTTATATATATTTTTTTCCATTTCTTGCTGATTGTTCTATTCCCTCCTCAAATTCTATTTCTATTCCATTTCTTCTCAAATTCTTCTTGCAAATCTGATTTTAGTAGCATGACCGCCTTTCATTGGTTTTGATGGTTGGCTTTTTGTTATTGATTTTGGTAGAGAATCGTGGGATTTAAATAGGAGTGGAGACATAGATTTCTAGAGAGATATAGAGAAAGGGATGGTTTCGGTTTTTGGAAGGGTCTTGATTTTTTTTGATGTTTGTTATAGTTGTAGTTCCGTGTTTATAATTTTGGGCCATCTCTAACTTTACTGTTTTACCATATCTATGTGGGCTTTGAATTAAGGAGTACCAAGGCCCATTTACTTGTTTTTCTTTGAAATGTTTGTGTAACACCCAATCCCATGTGTTTGTTATTGGACAAAGCTGACGAACATATCAAGTGACGTAAGATCCACGTAAAGATTTGAAACCTATACACATGGTTTCATAGAAAAAAAAGATAAAAACATGGAAGCATAAGACGGTAACTAACTAAGTTTTCGGTCCATCTATTCAACAAAAAAAAATAATTGTGGGAACAAGATGAAGTGATGACAATTATGTTATGTTTCACAACAATTGAATTTAGAGCAACTAATTGCATTGATTGAGCCAATAGATTTTCCTTTAATCATTGGCATCCCCGAGTCGTTCTTATTTTAGTGATGGATATAGCTAGAATGGCATAAAATCAAGCATGAACTTTCTCACCCAACTTGCGACAACCCTTTCAGAGACCAGGTATCACCCCCTTATAGGGGCTAGTTTAGAAACTTAAAATAACACCGAACTTAAGCATTTCGTGTGGAATAATCTATCAGGGTGTTTGTCAACAAACCATACATTATTTTACCGGCACATCAGTAAAAAACAACATTGTCAGGGATGTGGTGTTGAGGAGGAAAAAATAAATCATCTTCTCTTTGAATCCCAGCTGGCTCTTTAAACTTGCGCTCTATCGCTGATTTCATCATCGACTTCCGTCTTCCCTAGTCAATCCCTCTGCTCTAACTTGGACTTTTTTTGGCAAACTAGCGAGATGATGAATGGAGAGGAACATATACACGTTTTCCCATGGATATTTTGGTATTTATGGAAGACCCAAAATATTTTTATTTTCGAGAATATTAGAGAGTCATCTCAAGAGACGTTAGATCATGCCACTTAGGAAGCGACAACATGGAGGCTGGTAATAGAACAAATGATACCCCTAAGGAACCAGTAGTGTCATACCATCGTACTACAACCACTAAAGCTACATTGACGGAATGTCAAATAGATGGCTCATGGCTAGCCTCTGATTCCCTGAGAGGACATGAGTGGATTGTAATGGAAGGTGATATATCTCTCCTTCTGGGATTGAGAACCTCCCGTCGTGGATTATCAGCTCTTCAACCAGAATTGGAACCCCTTCTCTAGGTCATGGAATGCCTCATCATGGCTTCTAAGATAAACATTGGCTTTGCCTTTGATTGTTCTGATATTGTTAGCTAAACTCGCGAATTCCTCGGAGTGACCTACGTTTGTAGTAGAGATTCAATATTTGAGCTTTTAAGGCTTTCTTTCCCCTTCTTCATGTTAGATATATCTCGCGTTACAATAATGTTCGTGCCGATTGCCTAGCCAAAAAAGTAAGAGCACGAAGTTTTCTACTTTCCTATGTAAGCACATCGGTGCCAGATTAGCTCTTTTTAGAAGATGACTTTCTACGAGGAGCGGATTTGGTGGTTTTAGAGCGCCATTGACGAATCAAAGGAAGCCATAACCGGAGAGGAACACAAACTGAGATTTCAATAAGATGTCATTTCTTTCTGTGAGTTTGACAGTCACATAATTTAAAATGTTTACTATAGATTGGGAATAGAAAGTTCTTTCTTTTGATAATGGATTCTCTCTTAACGGTTACACATGAGGCTGAGGCTCTTATTCATACACAAGCAACACTCTAATTCTCCTGACACATGTCGTCATCTGCTAGGAGGCTAAGAGCATCATAAATTATCTTATGAGTTCTCTTTCTTACGATTACATGAGACTGAGACTCTTATTTATACACAAACAAAACTCTAGTTCTCCTAGCACATATCGTTATCAGGTAGGAGGCAAAGAGCATCATAAATTATCTTATGAGTTCTCTTTCTTACGATTACATGAGACTGAGACTCTTATTTATACACAAACAAAACTCTAGTTCTCCTAGCACATATCGTTATCAGGTAGGAGGCAAAGAGCATCATAAATTATCTTATGAGCTCTCTTTTTTTCCTTGTATCTACATTAGATGCTTGGAATTTTTTGGCTGAATTTTTGACCAAATCATTGGGGTTTCTTTAGATGATTTATGTTCTTGTCTGATTCTAGATTCAAATGCAGGAGTTTTCATAAAGATGGTGAGTTTTTGTTCGTCATCTGTTTTCTTATTCAAATATATATCAAGAATTTGATCTCCTAGTTTTCTTTAAATGTTAAGTTCTTTTGCCCCATTGATCTCAAATGTGAAGATGATTCCAAGATTTTAAAACCTTCTCATCATTCAGCCCCTTAGCTAGAGTTACATAGGTTTTTGGGGAAACAATATAGGAGATCTTTAAAGCTCAGAGGTTTTCAAAAATAAATTTGGTGGCTGAAAGATTTGTGAAGGGAGATGATAGTTAAGGATGATTGTACGAGGTTTTCTTGGATTAGATATGTTTTGATTATAACTAATCTTTGCTCCATGACATTTGATCATAATTTTCTAGGCAGTGTAGTTAAAAAGTTTTTGGATCTAAAGTTACTAAATGGTTCTTGCGGCGGCAAATAAGGTGGAGAGTGAAATAACCCCAATACTCATCATAATCCTATTAATTACTTTGGTGTTGTATTGGGTATTAATTCTATATTTTTGAACTTGATGTGATTGGCACAGATTTTGTCTAGTGCTCTTGATTTATTTTTCGTATTTTAGAAGACAAAAATGTTAGAACTATTGATTATTTTTTCAATATGATTATATTATCTTTAATAAAACTAAAAAATTCCCATGCAAATTCTTTACCTAGTAATCAAAAATAACATAACAACGGATTTAAAGGAAAAACTTTTAATTATTACAAAGACCAGAAAACAAAAAAAAAGATCACTTGAAATTTTAACTTTTAAAATGAAAGACAATAAAAATGCAAATGATTCAATTCTTCAATCGGATAAGAATCCCCTTAGGACTTAGGATTATTGGTGATGTTAGGAGCACAAGCATCAGCAGCGGTGGTAGTTATTATAGCGAGACGATTAGTTTCGGATTGGTGGGTGCTGCCATCAATGGAAGGAATGTCCCCATCCTCTTCAACATTAAGATCTGGAACAACAAGAGGAGGTAAAGAAGAAGAAGACTCACCATTCTTCTTAAGGTTCTCAAACCTGTTAGTAACGCAATTGAGATAGTTATCAATAGTAGAACTCAAATCTTGAAGATCTTTTTCACCAAGTTGATGCACATCAATATCTCCTTCGAGACAACCCCACATAATTTCCCGAGTCTTCAAATCTCGGTTTTCATCACGCAATTTTTCCAATTGCGCTTGTTCACTTTCAATCCTCTGACGCAAAAAAGCATCTTGATCCATCATTTTTTTGTTCCGATCTTTCCTGGAAACCTCCATAAACTCCGACACTACTTCTTCAACACCTTCTCTTGACGGCCAAACCTCAGGGTTTGAGTTGTACGGACTGTGGATGACCGCACATGCTTTGACATCATAGAGAGTCACCAGTTCGGTGAATTTCTTCATCAACCTTGGCTTCCTTTTATTGAATGTTGTTTTCCTCGATGTTCCATTTTTGATGAGCGAAAGTTTTTTCTTCATGTTCATTATCTTTGTTATGTGTATTTGTTTTGTTGGTATGAAGATTGTTTATATAGTAAAAGAAAGGTGCTTTGACCCATTAGGATTTTTGTTATATTTTGGATAGTGTATCTGTTCCACTCTTACGTGTACGCATGTGATTGCGTATAAAACGATAATCTTTTTCATTTAGAGATAATATGTAATCTAATAAATATATTATACCTTTAGAGGACATGAAGACCAGAGATTGAGGAAACTAAAAGACATGAAGACTAATAAATTAAGGCAAATAAGACAATAATATGACTTATCTTTTTATTTAGACTTAAGAGGAAAAAATTACACTAAAGTTAATTTTTAATCTTTATGCAATCTATATATTTGTTGTTATTACTTTCATTAATACAAAGCAGTAAAATAGATTTCCATGAATGAGTAACAAGAAAAAGTTAGGTGACAGAAAGAAAGAAGGATTTCATAAAATAATAAAAAAAATATAGTCAATAAATTTTCACCATTTGAGTTGAAAAAGTTGAAAAAAAATATTCAACCCATTCAACCTAGGGCCTTAAAAAGTTGAAAACATGAATTAGGCCCTGTTCGTTTCTCGATTCAGATGGATCATCTGGATGGAGATGAAGAATGATGTTCGTTTTTAACAATTTAACAAAGCATTTGGATGAATCAGTTGGATGGATCATCTGAATGAGTTTGTAATTTTAGGCAAATTTGTCAAACTCATCTGGATGAACATGATTAGAGCATTTGGATGGAGATGATCCTGTCAAAAATAACAAATGACAAATATACCCTCATTTACAATCATATATCAAATAATGTTTATTTTTCATAGATTTCTCATTTTATATTCTAAAAATCACATCTTTGCACCAAACAAAATCTCTAAAATTCGTGAAATAAAGGATTATCATTTTCCGTCAAAATTATAAAATCGCGGAATTGTGTTTTTTCCGCCAAAAAGTGAAATCATGATTTTTGATAGAAAATTGTGGAATTCGTCAAAACCGCAAAATCATATTTTCCCGCCAAAACTGCAAAATCATATTTTCCTCTAAAAACGTAAAATCGTATTTTTCCACCAAAACTATAAAATTACGATTTTGGCGGGAAAATTACGGAATTTTGTTTTCCCGCCAAAACCGAAAAAGTCGGATAATTACATTTTTCACTAAAACCGTAAAATCATATTTTCCCGCCAAAAATATAAAATCACGATTTTGGCGGAAAAATTACGGAATTTAGTTTTCCCACCAAAACCGAAAAAATCGGAGAATTACATTTTCCACCAAAACCGTAAAATCATATTTTCCCGCCAAAACTATAAAATCACAATTTTGGCGGGAAAATTACGGAATTCTGTTTTCCGGCCAAAATCAAAAAAATTGAAGAATTGTGTTTTCTACTAAAACCGTAAAATCATATTTTCCCACCAAAAGTAAAAAACTTAATTTTCTTGTTAAAATCATATTTTCCCGACAAAACCGTACAATTAATTTTTATATGTTAAAATCATAGTTTGAAATTATTTATTTGTAAATACATTTTAGAACATAATTAAATTAATATAGCTGAGATTAAAATTAAAATATAATTAGATTAAAAGTATGAGTATTTTTATCATTTTCTTGTTAAAGTCATCTAGATAGAAATGAAGATTTATAAAAATTAAGCAAACAAACAAAAGTTCATTTAGATGCTCTATCTAAATGAACATCCGAAAATTGAAGCGAACAACATTTAGATGGAGCATTTGGATGGAACATTTAGATGAACCATCTGGATAGAAATGCCAGATGATCAAACGAACATGCCCCAAGTTATAAAGGAAAAGTGTTCAATTTATTCATCCACATTTTTGGAGATGATTCAACCAATTTTGTTCAACCTAATAATTCTGCATACTGACTTTGTAATTTCGATATGTTATCAATGAAATTATTTGCTGGAAAAAAATACTCTTTTCCCTCGCTAATCAAAAAAAAAGGAAAACCATTGCTTTTTTTTATATATATATATACCAAATCGACTGATCCGGTCAGCTCCGGGGGGAACACACCGAAGAGCTACACTGCCAAACCCCAAGTTTGGAATGCTTTCCGACTAATACCCGGAGGTATCCAGTTAGCCTAATCCCGGATACCATGTGAATTGTTTGGGCCAAAATCCAAGCACAGTCTTCCCACACAAATGTGATTTTTGTTTTCAGGGTGGATCAAACTTGTTTCTTCCAACCTTTTCCCAATTCTTTCTTACCACTAGACCACGGCCATGTGAGCATCATTGCTCATTTTTCATTTCAATCCTTCTTTGCGATGCATCACTTTGTTCGTGATTGATTTCGATCACTCATGTCTCAATTGCTTAAACTCTTTCACATTTATCTAGAAATCATATATTTCTAAGGTGATCCATTTTATTTCTTATATGTATGTGTTTCACAATCAAAGATTTTGATAACGATATCGACGTGTTCATAAATATAAGTTGTGAGCATTTTTCTCATGCATCGGGTTTTAGCTTTTTTTCATGATTTATATTTCTCCACCTATAAATAGATGCCTATGTTCATAGTAGAGATTCAACATTTTGAGCTTTTAAGGTCTTCTTTCCCCTCTTTTTATTTTAGATATACCTCGTGTTACAATAATGTTCGTGCCGATTGTCTAGCCAAAAAAATTAGAGCACAAAATTTTTTATTTTCCTATGTAAACACATTGGTGTCGGTTTTCCTTTAATGTATGGTCAGCTCTACATGACATCCTTATCCGCCTTTGTTTTCAAACTACCATCTATCTCCTTTGGAAGGAGAGAAACATGCAGATCCATCAAAGTGGTTACTCCACCATGCTTCAAATCATTAGACGAGCGGAAAAGTTTGTCCGAAATAGGATCAACTCCCTAGATTACATGACCCGACCAAAGCTTCGAGCTCTCCTACAACAATGGTTCGCCGTTTCGTCGTACGTACATGAAGTGGGATTTCTACTCTCTTATCTAGTGTCTCTTTACGTGTTTGTCATAGCAGAGCTGCTCTACTGCTCTGTGTTTGCTATTCTTTGACATGAAGGCAGAAGACAAAAAATATGTTCATTACAGAGATATGTAATTCTTTATCTGATAAATGGAATTTGGCTTACAGTTTGCGTTACTTTGGCTATTGTTCACTTCGATGCAAATCGAGAAATTACAAAGATCAAAAGATGGATTCAAGTGCTTGGCTCAACAATATTATCAAAGGCTTAAATCTCTACAGCTACTAGAATACAAACAAAGTTGAGTACATTATACAACAATTTTACAACAACAAAATGCAGACTTGTAAAATCTGCTGGCGTACAAAGTGTTTCTCATATTGGTGGTGTTATTGAATGTTAAACGACCGCTTTGAGCAGAGCCTCATGTACAGCTTCTTTGGTGGGAAGGGCTGGAATTGCGCCTCTCACTTTAACGGTTAAGGCCCCGCAAGCATTCGCAAACATAAGAGCCTCTCTGAGTCGCTCTTCGTCCTGAGTTAAAGAAGTCAGTTTTTTCAGCTATGTGTTTTTGTTGTCATGTGTATCGAAAAATGAAGATAACTTTGTTATGAACAAAATTATGAAACTACTAATCTTATTCTAATTGACCAAACTAGAGACAGCTTTACGAATCTAGCCCTCTCTAACTGCTCTCTAACCAACTCATCAATCTACGAACGGCTACATCTAGTATAAAATGACAAATGAAAACAGGTTACCTGAAGCAAGGAAAGATCATTGGCTAGTTGCGAAAGTATTCCCGCAACAAATGCATCGCCAGCACCTGTTGTGTCCACTACATCCACCTTCAATCCATGCACTCTCCCAGTAAAATCCTGTGAATTGGAAATGATTTTAAATGGTATGAACCGTACGATCTCACATTGCCGTAACAATATTTAAAAAAACCGCCATTAAACATGAGTATCAAGACTAAGGATATGTAGTTCTGATTACGATAATGCTTTGGAGAAGTGCGGAAAAATCAAAAGAAAAAGAGGGACTTTTCACACCTTGGTGTAGTACCGACAGCCTTCAGGGCCCTCAGTGACAAGGAGTAGTTTCAGCTTAGGATGGAACAACTTGCGGACAACATTATCATCATACGGATCTTCTCCTTTCGTTAAAAAGACGATCTCCTCTTCGCTTATCTTGAAAGTTTTTTATCAAAACAGAAACAACAAGTTTCAGTTGATAACAAAAGGGAAAGACAACATACACAACTGTAACCATACATATATAAAAAAAAACCTTTATGATATCAGCAGTCTCCCAAATGCTCAGAATCTCTTCCCTAGCATTGTCTGCAGAAGGCCACAACGGGAGCCTAAGGTTAGGATCATAGGAAAGAAGAACACCAGCCTCCTTAGCAGCCTTTGCTGCAGCTATATGAGCAGACTTGCACGGTTCTGTGATAAGACTTATCGAACCATAATGGAATATCTTCGCCTGCCACAAGGACAAAGGAAACTTCGTTAGACATGTGGTTTGCTACATGTTTTGCAGTGAAATTTTTTTTTGTAGTTTACCTTTTTGATCAAATCAAAATCAAGCTCAGACTCTTCTAACAACATATCAGCACTCGGGTTTCGATAAAACATAAACTCCCTTTCACCTTCACTAGTCAAAGTAACAAAAGCTAAAGCAGTTCTAGCTCCAGGATCAAACCTCATACCTTCATTGTTCACATTATTATCTTTCAAAATATTCGCAAGCATATAACCAAACTCATCTTCACCAACCTATACACAAAGAGAAACAGAGTTTTAAAATGTTACAAATCAAACAAGAACACACATTGTTTTTGCTTTACCTTTCCAATGAAAGCTGAAGAACCACCAAGACGAGCAATACCAACAGCTACATTAGCAGGTGCACCACCTGGAGCTTTTTTAAAAGCCGGTGCATCGGCTAATGAAAGTCCGCTAGTTGTCGGTACGAAATCGATTAACATTTCTCCAAAACAGACTATATAAGGAGACTCTTGTGTTGATGAACCATCACTAGACAATGCTCTTCCTTTAAAAACAAAACAGAACAAATCAAAATCACTTTCTCAACAAGTATTAAGATTCATAAGCAGTTTTGAGCCATCTGAGAGCAATTCTGCAATTTCAACATAGTATGAGAATTTGAGAAAACAGAACCAAAATGTGTTAAAACCTTTGAGATTAGATCTTGAATTTGAGAGTCTTGAAGAAGAAGAAGTAGCTTTGATGGAGATTCGGCGTTTTGAAGTGAATGAGTTTGGAGTTGATCGGAAAGTTGGACCGGAGAAGCAGAACGTACTAGTGGCTTGAAGAGCCATCGGCGGAAAACGCAGAGATTGAAAACCGCGTTTTGGAGACGCTACTTTTGTTTTTATGCTTGTGAGAGAGGAAGCTGAGAGAGCGACAGTGAGAACAAGCGGAGGAACCAAAGGAAATCTGAAAAGTCATTTTCAGTTTAAATGGAAGAAACGGATCAGAGTTTTTAATTATAGCGTAATGACAACTTTTAAAATTTGATTAGATTGTATAATTACTAATTAATCCCCATTTCTTTGTTTTTAAGCAAAAGGAAATTTTAGATAAATTACGAAAAAGAACTTTTAATTTTTTTTATATACTTGTAAATATCAAATATCATTAAAAATGAAAGTTTATGATTTACATTATATAATATCTATGGTATGAAATCACGAGAATATAAACCGTAAAATCATCTAATCCAAAGTTGCATTAAGTTATTGAAATGCTTCGTTTGCCTACGAGCATAGATAGATTTCCAGATTTCTGAGGTAATACGAGGTGATTGTGAAGGACATTGTTCCGCTGCTTCCATAGGTGAAACAATGTGGCTTGAGTGACTAGCTTTTTGAGCAGAGATGGAATTTTGCAATTAAAACACTCAATTAAAATGTTGGCTGGACTTATTATCGTGTCAATTTTCACAACTTTTTTAGATAATAAAGCTATTTTTCTATAAACAGTTTCACTTTAAACCAGAAAAATAATTATGGGTGTCTTGACAAAAAAAATTTGATTCATTCAACAAAATTTGTCTAGACACCCATTTGATTCAACATACCTTGTTCATTGTTAGTCTTAGCCACTGACTTCTCCATACTGTGTAGAGAAAATACGTTTTCAATACCAACATATATAAAGAAATAATCCAACATAAAGAGTCATAAGATAAACCATTAAAAAACCATTAGTTCAACCCTTTTTTTATATCTATACTAAGCAATGTCAATTTTTACAATTTTATTAGCTCTTAGGATAAAACTAAGTTTTAAGTTAACATTTTTTTAAACTCGAAAGTAAACATTTATTTATCAGGGATGTTCCAACGAAAATGATGTATGGATTAAAATATAGTAGTATTTTCGGAAAAGCAAAATTTAAGTGTGATATTTTGAAATTGGCATATCCTCTTATATATTGAAAAAAAGTTTTTGGTACTTATATGTCAAGCCCACAACTATTCTCATCTTTTTTATTTTTATTTATTTAATTCTACTATTTACCTTGCCAAATACTTTTAGGGGGGGTATTGGACGGATGAGTTTGATAGAATTTTATAGAATCTAAGATTCTAGTGTTATTCAAGTAGACGTTTCACAAATTCTTTTAAAGTCTTGTGTTATTTAACTTCCTCATTTCTTAATTCTATTAATTGCAAGTGTTATTCAATTTTTTGTAGTTTTTAATGTCCTCGATACTTGATAGGAATTTAATAGAAAAATTAGTGTAAAACGTGAACAACAAATTCTGAGGTTTTGAGTTGAGATTTGGATAGAACATATCCAGCCTCCTTCATCTAATAATATTTACTTTTTCTCTTTCATCGATTTGCTTCAATCATCGACAAAAGCTCAAATCTGAGGGAGAGTGTGTATTCATCTAACACATCCATAATCTGTGATTTCACGATCCGGCTAATTTCTCGTTGTCGGATCATCAATTCATCATCCATTAGATTATATATGAGGGGAGAGTGTGTGAATCGAGAGAGAAAGCGAAACAGAGAGGAAATGAATGGTGGTGATGACGTCATCGTTGATGTTACATAAGGGATCTCTCTTCCATTTCATGTAAACGTCAACGTATGTCGTTTATGGGTATAATCAGGGAGGGTGAAGGAGAAAGGCAGAGTTTTTAGGGTTTGGGCATAGTGGCTGATAGAAACCAGAAACAAAAATTCTAGTAATTCATTAATATCTTTTTACTTCTAATAATTCTAGTAATTCTATTAAAATACTGTAAGGTAAATTGTTAGAATTGAAAAGAAAGATTTGAAAATCTTTTACAATACTCGAAAATCTATAATTTATGTCTTCAATTCTATTCTATTAAATTCTCTCACCCAATACCCCCTCCTAAGTTTCATATACTACGTACTTATTCTTATTAACTAAACTTACTAAAACAAAATATCTCAAAATTTTAAATAAGGAAACTTCTACATAAAGATTTTTTATATTAAATGTATATTGTTTTTCAATTGAAAAATTAAACTATATGAACATATAGTGTATACATTTTAACACCGAGAAATTTTTTCATGTATTATAACAAATTAAATTGAAACCGCAAATCTATAAACCAAGTTTATGAATGCCTTAATACAACTTTATTTGTATAATATAAATCACTAAACTATTAAAAAATTAATTTGTAAATTTATTTACAGGAATAAAAAGTTTTGTTATTGTATGATATTCATATAGCATTATTTTAGTTTAAAGTATTTTCGCACATTTATAATTTTAATTTGATGTTTTGGAATTCAAAATAAAATCTTTGAGTTTTTCTTTGATTTTTCTATCATAAAATTAAATAACGTAAGAGTTATGCACATGTTCTCTACCTAGTTTTATTTAAAACCAGATTAAGATTAGTCCGATGGACGGGTTTTAAAATTTTAAATAAATTTAAATTTAACAAAAAAATATATAAAAAATTTGGTTGTAAGTAACTATATTTACGAAGTAAATAGATGATTTTTAGTTAGAAAAAAGAGTTATATATATATTATATATATTTTTTATTAATACACTAATTTGAAATTCTATATTTTAAATTTATTATAACATTTATTAAAATAATCTAGTAAAATTAAATTTTCAGTCACCAAACGTTTGTCAAATATTCATCGTTATTAGTAATGTCAATTCACAAAAAACATGGTTTCAAAATCTGGGCTAAAATATAATTTACAACTTCTTTGAAAAATGTTTTAGATTCAAACCACCGGTCAAACCTTCATCTTATTTACAACTATTTACAAATATAGGATCTACTTGAGTACTAAAAATGTGTTTTTGCACCCAATCATATTTTACTGTTGAAGTATTACCAGTTTACAATTTTAAATTCTAGAGATTGCTTAATTTAAATTTAGATAGTACCACCATTATATTAGTCAAAATAAAATTAATAAATTACTTAGGATATTGTGGCATGAGTAAAATATTTTTACATACTTAATTTCGGCCTTTTGTTTTTGGTAGGACTTAATTTCGGCCTTTAAACATAAGTAATATTTATCACTGTAATATATTGTTTTTATTTGTAAAATGAAATCATTAAATTTTTGAAAAAGTGACGTTTGTTATCCATCCACCCTTATTTTCCTCCCGTTAATATACTAGTAAATAGTAAATACATATTTACACAAACATTAATAATTCAAATTAGTTAAGAGAAATTGTTAAAAATGCCCCTTTTTCAATACCCCTTTTCAAAAATGCCCCCTTTGAGAGTCCATTTTTAAGTTTGCCCTCTTTTAATTTTTAATGACCATTTTACCCTTATTTGAAACAAAATTAGGTCCACAAAATACAAAATATTTTTTGGCGGGAAAAGTGATCCCGCAATTTTCCCGCCAAAACACTTGTAAAAACCTTTAGAATACCTTGTAAAATTTTCCCGTAAAAATTTTTCCCGCCAAATTTTTTTTTTTGCGGGAAAAGTGATTCCGCAATTTTTTTGGCGGGAAAAATTTACAAGGTATTTTAAAGGTTTTACAGAGTATTTACAAGTGTTTTGTAAGGTTTTACAATGTATTTTAAAAGGTTTTACAAGGTACTTATAAGGTTTTATAAGGTATTTATAACTTGTACAACCTTATAAAAAACTTGTAAAACCCTATAAAATAGCTTGTAAAATCTTATAATATCTTATAAATACCTTATAAATACGTTGTAAAACCTTTTAAAATACATTGTAAAACTTTATAAATACCCTGTAAAAAACCTTTAAAATACCTTGTAAATTTTTCCCGCCAAAAATTTTCCCGCCAAAAATTTAACGCAAAAAAAATTTTTGGCGGGAAAAAATTTTACGGGAAAATTTTACAAGGTATTTTAAAGGTTTTACAAGTGTTTTGGCGGGAAAAATTGCGGGATCACTTTTCCCGCCAAAAAATATTTTGTATTTTGTGGACCTAATTTTGTTATATTTCCTTATATATTTGTGATATCTTTTATTAAAAGAAGGGTAATTTAGTCATTTTGTACATAAAAAGGGGTATTTTTAAAAATGGACATCCAAAGGGGGCATTTTTGAAAAGGGGTATTGAAAAAGGGGCATTTTTGTGAGTCTCCCATTAGTTAATCTATTTTATTATTAACTATTAGTTAATCAAACATGAACGGAGGGTTTTAACCTATTTATTTTTATGAATAATCTTATTTATAATTAAATATTTATTTTATATTTTAAAAATTCATTGTTTAAATATTATATGGTGGATGTGTTTCATTTTATTATATGTTATAAATACAAGTTAGAAATCAGATCAGATTATTTTCTGAGTCACCAGATCTCTAGGTTGAATTGGTCCGATCATGTGATTGTGGGTGAATAGCTTAATAAGTTTTTTAAAAAATTTATATATGTATGCAAAATATAAGCATATATATATATATATCCATAATTTAAACATACGTATATACAACAATGATGTAAAAAAATGAATATTAGATGCAAGATAAATGTATGTGTAAAACATTATGAATATTATGCTTATAATAGTTATTTTTATGTTATAGTAGTATTGTGTTATTTGTAAATATTTTATGTAGAACAAAAAGGAATTTAGAAGAAAAGAAAGATGTAAGGGAGGATAGAGGAGAATGATTAATTATTTAATGAGCTTTGTGATGATTTTGGTGAATTTTATTGAATTATGAATTTTTTTATTAAAATTCTCATAAATTTCACCTAAACCATGTGATTTGGATCTTTGTATTTTTGAAATTCTCTGAAATCTCATCTAAAGTCATTCAGATCGGCTACTTTTTAATTTATGACATTTCTCTTTTTTTTTCTTATATTAGTACATCTTTGTATTATAAGCTAATTAAGCTTATATACACCTACCATTAGTATTTGATCTCAAATTCTTTCTGAATGCGTTCATTCTTTAAGCATACCTTGATAACTCCAGCCAAGAAGAAGAAGAACTGGATTCCATTTCTCCCTAAGAATTTAAGTTTCTATTCAATACCGAATGTGGAATATGTCTGCTTGAATTCAACAAAGACGACAAACCGTTAGTTGATTTTACATGCCATCACGCGTTCGACCTTGATTCTTTGATTAGATGGATTAGAGAATGCCCTATCTCCAGAATTAATTTCTAAAGTGGAGAACTAGATTGGAATAGTTGGGTTAATAATGTAATTTTTTAGGCCAACTATATGTTTATTTACTTTTACTTTTGAATAGGTTTTTAACTACAAAAATTGTTGATTCAAAAAATATATCGAATGAAAAATAAATAACATATCAATAACTGATGAGGTATTTATAAGAAAAATTTAAAAGAAAAAATTTACTCGATTGCAATGAGTCTATGACCAACAAATAAAGTTGAGAAATTTTTAGAAAATTAATTTCACATAATTATAAAACAAATTTTATATAGTAAAACTTATATAATTTAAAACTAAAAGTAGAAATAAAATAAATAATCTAAAAATACAGTTATTAAATTAAAAAAAAATTATCAACATAATGATATATATAAATTTTCAATAATTCAACGATAAATAAAAATTTAAACTCTAAAAATACTACAATTATAATTGACGATAAAAATTACAAAATTAAGTAAAAATATTACAAAAAAGGAAAAAACATATATTGATCTCACATATTTCTAGTTGAAACAATAGAAACTCAAATAGATGATGTGAACACTAATTTAAATGATCATCACAAATTTCTAACTGTAAAATAAATTGAAATAAATGATATAAAATTTTTAATTAAAATCATGACACATGGTAAAAACTTTGATAGATATACTTGAGTACTTGACACATGTCATGATCATATTAAGTTTTTAATTAAAGAAACCAAAACATATCATATTAATTATATAATAAGATATTTTTCCTTTTCTTAATAATTTTTTCTTGTTTTAATTCAAGTATATCCTTTTTAATTATACACTCTAATTAATTGACACATATCACGATCATTTTAAAATTACTAACTTTTAAAATCAAACAATATAATAAGATTTTATATTTTAATTATATTATTTTTCAATAGAATTAGGTTAATAGTTCACTATACTAACAAAAACAAATTTGATAAAAACAAACATTTACTTCTCTTTTTTTAAAAAAATTATTAACAATTTATTTTATTTTTATATTTAACAAATTTTTATTGATGCTTTAAATTTCTTTTTTGGTTGAATTACAAACTTTTCTATTCTTATCTTTGAATATATTAATAAATTCAGACTTGATCACATGAATTAGCAATTTTGAAAACCAAACTTTATGTAACAAATTTTGCTTTTTATTGTATTTTTTTAAGAAAATAGTACTTGTAATTATTTTAGTTATAGGATTTGTAATTTACTGTATCCAAGGGCCTTTGGGCTTCCTCTCAAAGCCCCACATCCACTAATCACATGATTAACTAAAAAACCCAACCAATTATTTTCCGTTTAAAATTTATTTCCTAATTTAATTCCGTTTTAACTTTTTCTCATTGTCGTATAATTGTTTTTGTCGGTTGCTAAAGATATTTTCACAGCTTCTGAAAAAAAAATTCATTTCGTCTCTGAAAGCGAAAAACCAAAGAAACGAGAAGAAGAAGAAGAAGCTATGGCGGATCAGCTAACTGATGAACAGATCTCTGAGTTTAAGGAAGCTTTCAGCCTCTTCGACAAAGATGGAGATGGTTAGTCTCTTATCTCATCTTCTTCTTTTAAATATCTCTTGATCGTTGTTAAAACCATTTCGGATCTCGTTTTTTTCGATTTCGTCAACGATCGGTCTCAGATTCGGAATTTTTATTAGTCTGATTCTATGATACGCTTTAGATTTGGTCTAGTCTCTGGTTTTTCTAGATTCGTTCTCTGATTCATGTGATTCGTGAGGTTTTGTTGCTTCGTTGTTGATTCAATCGATTGATTGTCTCTTTTCTCACTTCAGAGGAAAAAATAGTGAAAACTAGGTTAGAGAATCAAATTTGGGTGGTCAGTGGTCTTTGGGTGTATTTTGCATCTTTATAAGTTATTGTTTGTTGATGTTATACCAAAATGAACAAGTATTTGCATATAAATGTTACTTAGCTTTGTGCAGAAAATTATGTTTCACGATTCTCTATTCTGATTCTTATTCTTAATCGTCTCAAGTTGTCATTCTTCGGTAGTTTAAGGAGGTATATTGCTACGGATTTAAGTTCAAAGATACTGTTTAGTTTTAGCAGCTATCATGGTTTTTCCATAGTCAAAGATATTCAGTTTCTAGTGATTTTCTGACATCCGTTTAATGGTTTTTTTTTTTGGCGCAAAAACGTTTATCGCAATTCCTGGTTTTCATTCATGTTTCTTATGTATATCAATCTGATTTTTTCATGGAATCTACTTGCAAGGAGGTATGTTGCTGCATGTTTAAGTTCTCCGATAATGTTTAGTTTCGTAAGAGAAGCAAACAGTCATATGTGTTGTGTTATAGTACTTTAATTAGTTTTCTATAATGAAAGATTCTCAGATTCTAGTGCTTTTTTCTGGCATCCATTGATGGTTATGTGTTTGGTTGTTTCTTGGCTTTTGTAGCTCATAAAGTTTTGTTGGACACATTTATCACAAGACCTAGTTTATTCATGTTATCTTTTACTGATTGAACAGGTTGCATCACCACAAAGGAGCTGGGAACAGTGATGCGGTCACTAGGGCAGAACCCAACAGAAGCTGAGCTACAAGACATGATCAACGAGGTTGACGCTGATGGAAACGGCACCATTGACTTCCCTGAGTTCCTAAACCTAATGGCTAAGAAGATGAAGGACACAGACTCGGAGGAAGAGCTGAAAGAAGCCTTCAGGGTCTTCGACAAAGACCAGAACGGGTTCATATCCGCTGCAGAGCTGCGTCATGTGATGACAAATCTAGGTGAGAAACTGACTGATGAAGAGGTCGAGGAGATGATTCGTGAAGCAGATGTTGATGGAGATGGTCAGATAAACTACGAGGAGTTTGTCAAGATTATGATGGCTAAGTGATGATAAGAAGAAAATGAAGAATAAAAGTGGTGATGTGATGACCTTTTAGGCTTTTACTATCTACAAAAAAGATTCGACCTTTAGTGTCTTGGGTTTGATTTGAGGCCTAGTAGTTTCTTTAAGGTTTTAACAGACTGAATTTGTGACTATCTTTTTTTATTTTGTGGGTTTTTTTTTCTTGTTGGCATAATGGCATGTTTAGATTTTCATTTTGGTAACTACTGTGGTCGCAAAGCTTTTATTATGAAAAAAGTTACTTCACAAGCCCAAATAGACTCGATAGTTTGTTGTAGAGCTCAAACAAAATACAAACTCTTACATAGAGTGCGTACAAAAAGAGAAGTATCCTAAATAAGATGACGAATTGCGACTTCCATACGTATCGGGGACTCGGGAGTCGCTGTGATAGGCAGAGTTGAAGATGTTGATTTGGTAGTGATAGAGGGTGTAGTTTCAAGTCCCCTAAGTTAGAGAGGCTTAGGGGAAATAGCAAAGGGATCCGTTAAAAGAATGGATTGTTTTAAAATGGGGGTGGAAGAATTAGAGGTCTGAAATGAGAAAACATAATTGTGAGAATGAGTAGGGGTAGACGCTTGAACCACCTTAGCTTGACTAGGTAGGAATAGAGTTTGAAAATCTCATTGAAAAAACCTTAAACAAACTCTACTTAATCACACCTTTTATTTAGAAAAAAAAATTACAATTAAAATTTCACAACCAGGACTAAAAAAACTTACAAATTTTACAGCAAAAACTCAGAGGTAAAACCTCAACCAAATTAGACTCCAATCAGACCCTAGTTATTACAAATTTTTTAAACATCTCCTTTATTAATTTATTGAAAGATCACAAATATATCAATGAACATACAAAGAAAAGCTCTATAATCCATAAGTTAAACGAAAGAATCGAAAAATTAAAATTACACGTTGCTTTCTTTTTTAGGTAAGCCTTACATGTTAACAGATTTATCAATTTATTATTTTTCTTGATCGTCTTTGTCTTCCATCTAATTTGATATTCTTGTTTGGCTATCATCTCTTTTATGAAACTCCAATACATTTTTTGAAAATCAAAAGGTTACGATCTATCAATTACATTGCAAACCATACCAACATTTCCATCTCCCGCGACAGGCGATGGCATTGTTTTGGTTGTAAATACCACCCATGATAAATCCATGATCTCGATTCTCTTTTTGATGTTCTTCGACAACTAGAAATGCAAAGTACTTATGATTTGGTTCCATGGCGGTTTTTAAGGCGGTCGGCGTTAGAATTGACATATAATCGACAAAATATGCCGCAATAATTACGGCATAGCCATCAGAAATTGCATTTCGATAAGAGATCTCACACACCCAAAGGCTTATATTCACTTTTAAAAATTACAAAAGAGAAGAATAAATTTGAATTTAGAAATCCAAAACGGAAAAGTTCACTGATTTAGATTAAAACAGAAAGCAAAGAAACATGTATCGCTGACAAGTGCCGGCGGCCCTAAGACAATCGGAAAAGGTGGAGGCCAAGAAAGAAAATGGTTTATGTGTTCAATATGGTTACATACCTAATTAATTATCTTGTTTAACAGAATAAATGCGTTAATAATTTGTCATCCAACCGTCACTTACAAGAAGTGTCGAAAGAGACTTGGTATTATTTATGCATCCACACGCCAACATAGAGATTAGTCCACACATTCGACATAACATATTTTACGCGTGTCATGTGACTACTAATCAAACATCACATTGCTTTCTTAATATTTTGTTTGTTAAAAGTTATTTGTATTAATTATTTGCAAACTCTACTCACTTTTCAGATATGAAACCTTTAATTTCTAAATTTGCCAAGTAAATTATATCAATAATTACAACTTAAATGTATAATTTAACCGAAAAAAATCTAATCACTAGGCGCTAAGCGGGCGGTGACCTAGTGCCTAGCGCCTAGAACGCCTAATCGGGGCCTAGGCGGTTTTTAGGCGGTTTAGACGTTTATAACATAAAACATTATATATATGATATTATATATAAAAGCTATATAAAATATCTATATAAAACTAAAAATTATGAAAATATAAACAAAAACTAGATAAAACATCTATTTATATTTATATTAAACAATGTATGTATATTTATAACTATATATACATAAAAAAAACTTAATTAAAATTGAAAAAATACACTAAATAAAATCTATGTAATTTTAGGCGGTCAAGGCGGTTATCTAGACGTCGCATAAGAGCCTAGCGCCTAGTCGGGGCCTAGGCGACCGCCTAGACCGCTTTTTAGAACACTGCCTCTTAATCATCAAACAGTTATAATTTAACTTAAATCAAATCCAATTAAAATTATCAGTAGGAATTTGTGAAGTTTTCTAGTAGTCGAAGATTAGTAGTTACTCGCTATAATCATGTTAAAATAAATAACGGTAAACATAAAGAGATTTAAAATTATACAATAATTTTAGATCATGTTAAACCGGTTGAAACTAGTTATCCACTAAAATCCAAGTAAACTTAAAAGAGAGGAACCTTCTCCATTTTTGTATGAACATCATTTTGTCGAGTCGGATTAGACTCAAAAGTAGAGATCCGACCCGACGAGATAATGTTCATGAGAGAATGATGAGGGTTCCTCTCTTCTTTGATGTGCGTAGTCTTTTTTTTTTTTTTGGACGTTAGAGCAACAGCAATGGCAGACCTTAAAGGGTTCTAAGCCTAGTTTCTTAAAATTTTGAGCCCAAATATAACTCAAAACTGTTATTAAACCCAAGGAACGTTTCTTCTTTTAGAGTTTTTTGGCCTCTTAAGAAACGCTGACGTAGCACTGTTCTATTGGTTCCTAATCGGAGAAAACAAAAAAAAAATGCTTTCCCGATTCATTTGCTCGAGTCTCTCTCTCTATCACCTTGTTATCTCCTTCGGCGATTTTGGGAGAGATCTATAGCCATATGAGATAAAATCTCTACTTGCATCACCAATCGTTGTGGGTCAAATGACTTTCTGTGAAAAAGCTTTCAAGTGATGATTCCGATGGATAATTAGTGCGTACCGAGCACTAGCACGACCGGTTTAGTATTTTCCGCGAATTCGAGCATGAATGCTTCCTCTGGATTTCACCTAACTGTAATTCTCCGACTTCCATTACTGGACTCAAACATGAAGCTTCTTTGGCTGTTGATTGGTTTGTTGAAGAACAGTATGTATTGGAGAAAGGTCTTGCAAAGTGTTTTTGTTACTCCATTGTTCTTTTTGTTACTTCGTAGCGCTATTATACAAATGGTAGAGTATATAGATAAATTTTATAAACTTTGAGGAGGACGGTTTTAAGGATTTAAAGGAAGGAAATGGTTTTGCATTTGTGTTTTCATATGAACTGTTATGGCATATGTTTTTTTTAAGAAACCTACTTAAGGACTCACCATTGGACAAAGAAAAATTTAAGGATTCATCAAAAACTCTGAACTTTAAAATTGTTATAAAGTAAGATTAAAATATGTTTAAGGATCCTTTTAAGGATTCAACCATTGTTGTTGTTCTTAGAGCTTGGACTAGTGGGGATCCACATCCTTCTCTATTATGCAAACAATTGTCACCTCAACCAATGTGGTTCTGTTGTGGAAGCATTCACGTGTCTTTAATTAATATATTATTACTATATATTAAAAAGAAATAACTTTTTAAAACAAATATTTAACTTGATAATATTTATGTCATATACAATTATAAAATCTTTGTAAATTTTATTTTCTGCCTCAATTATTTAAGGGTCTGTAAAATAAATGACACGAATACAATATACTGTTTTCCTGGTTGTATTTTTCCTTATTTATTTCCGTCGCCTTTTTTTGTTTTCTTTTTTTCTCTTTCCATTTATGTAATAACCTCAAGATTTTGTATCCATATCTTATCTTTTTTAAATTTTTTTTTTTTTGTTAAAGGCTTTCATTAATAACAAAAAGAAAAGTATACAAGGAAGCAAGAAAGTACGAGCAGAACTAGTAACAAGTGCTAAAAGAAAGAAGGATTCAGAACAAAGAAACCTGAATAAAAAAGAGAAAAACAGATCCTAATTTCTGTCTTTTTCCAAAACCTTAGATGATCCAGCATTGAAGAATTGAGATCCCATGCTTAAAGCCCAGCTGATTCAATGCATTACACTTGTTTTCCAAAGTGGAAATAATGTGCTTTGCTACTATAACCGGAGAAAGAGAGAGACCATCATGGAAACGCCGATTTCTTTCCCGCCATAGTTCATAGATTGCTCCCTGCCAACCTTGAAGGAGAGCAAGTTTCTTGTACTTGGATCCTGAAATTGTTGATAGCCAAAAAAGGACATGATCCCATAAAATTGGAGGAGACGAGAACCCAAGCCTTTGAGTAATCAATCTCCAAACTTCAGCAGAGAATACACAGTCAAAAAACAGATGGTTCCGTGATTCCTGGGCCATACCACAAAGGAGACAATCCAACTCAACATCAAACCCCCAAGATGACAAACGATCAAGAGTAGGATTACGATTGAGCATAAACAGCCATGAGGAGATAGCATGTCTTGGAATGGCAGCCTTATGCCACAAAAGAGGAGCCCAAAAACGTTTTGGATTTGAAATCCGAATAGCATTCCACACAGCTTTTGAAGAGAAAGACTTGTAAGGAAGACCATCGATTGCCCAAATCGGAGTATCATTTGTTGATGACATGGTGATGGTAGATATGAAAGAGTGGAGAAGAACTTGTCGCTCTGTTCTAGCGCTAGGGAGAGACCAACCATTCGCAATTCGAAGTTCAGCTACAGTTGAAAACAAAGGGATCCCCAAACGAGTAGGGCCATCTGAACCAAGGAAATGATAAAGAGAGCCAAAGGGAGTCCATGGATCCCACCAGAAGAAGGTAGAATCACCATTTCCAATAGTGATGCTGAGAAATTTAAGAGCTTTGGGACGAAGCTTAAGTAGTTTTCTAAAAATCCAAGAGTAGACAACATTTTTCTCATTGAGCGCCCAAAGAGGAGCTGTAGACAAATACTTACTTCGTATCCATGCCACCCATAAAGAACCAGCTCTAAAAAACAACATCCAAAGAAGTTTCAAGCCACAAGTCTCGTTCCAACTACCAATGTGTTTCAATCCAAGTCCCCCTTCGGATTTAGGGAAACATACGTTATACCAGGACACTTTTGCACCTGCAGGTATATCCAACTTTCCACGCCAAAGAAAGGAGCTGCACAGCCCATTGATCTTCTTAATAACCTGCTTAGGAAGAAAGAAAGCACTAGTCCAAAAACCTATAATTCCCGAGATAACAGAGGAGATCAGAGTTAACCGTCCTGCCAAACTCAAAAACTTGTGAGTCCATGAGTTTAATTTCTTTCTGATTTGAGATAACAAGGGATCGCAATCTCTAACCAAAAGCTTTCGGGAACATAAAGGGAGACCCAAGTACCTAATTGGAAGAGAAGAGGGCTGCAAATTGAATATTTCCTTTAACCGACTCAAACTGCTCTCATTTAACCCATAACAAAACATAGAGGTCTTCTCAATATTCATTCCCAACCCGGACATATTCTCAAAATCTGCAAGAACTGACATAACTCCTCCCAAAGATTGCTCAGAACCCTCTAAGAAGATCAATAAATCATCGGCAAAACAAAGATGTGTAAGCCTAAGATCCTCACATCCAGGATGGTATTTGAAAGATCCATTTTCTGCTGCTTTATTCAACATAAGAGATAACACATTCATTACCATAACAAACAGAATTGGGGATAATGGGTCTCCCTGGCGTAAACCTGTCCTTCCTTTGAAAAAACCTGAGGTAACCCCATCGATACTAACACTAAAAGAAGGGGAGCAGACACATGCTTTAATCCAGTTAATAAAAACAAGAGGAACCTTATATGCTCGAAGAGAGCTGAGAAGAAAGTCCCATCTGACAGAATCAAAGGCTTTTGAGATGTCTACTTTGAGTGTAATTCTTGCCTTGCCTTTATCAATATGATAGCGTTGCACAACTTCTGAAGCTAACAACACATTCTCCAATAACAATCTATCCTTAACAAAGGCGGTTTGATTGGGAAGTATAAGGTTAGGGAGAAGAAGCTTTAACCTGTCTACTAAAAGGCGAGAATTGATCTTTTATGCCATCGTCCTTAAATTCGACATCTCTTGTCCTAATTCCAAAAAGACCAGGATCTGTAGAATTGAAGGATTTTCGGCCTATTTCTTATCTTTTTAAATTACTTAGATTTGTTTCCTTTGTTGGCTTCAGTTTTCCTAATATTTTTATTGGTTTGTTTTCAATGCTTTTGCAATTCTGTTCCTATATTTTCTATTCTGTAACAAGATTTTCTCATTTTATATGCATTGATAACAGAATATAGAAAATATACAACTTGTACAATTTTTAATTGACTTAATTGCTAGTCTGCTACTGATAAAAAATTAAAAAACTGATGACATATTATGAAGTATTTATAAATATTAAAACTATCATTTTTTTCCACAAAAATCAAAAATAATTAAAATAATATATAAATATTTAGCTAAAATATAGCTTTATTATTAAAACTAATTGTATTATACCCCCATTAAAATATTTTGCAAATCACCACATTTTAAAAAGCCAAAAAATACCCATCAAATTAAATATATGGAAAAATGGGTAGAAAAACCCTCACCTTTCCTAAAAACATATAAAAAATCCTCAATTTGAAAAGAATAAATCATAAATTAAATTTTTTTCGTTTATTTTTGTTTTAATATAACGATTTGTTTAAATTTAAGTTGAGTTTATTAATATTAGGGTTTATTTTACCACTTATAAAAAGGTGAGGGTTTAAAAACCCACAAAAAAAGTTGAGGGTTTTTAATATGTTTTTAAGAAATGTGAGAGTTTTTTTACCCATTTTTCCCAAATATATCAATAGATAGATTATAGATATCATATCCTACAGAAATAAATTAGTTTACATAAATGCCACGTAAAATTTAATAATAAAAGAAAATTTGCAAGAGAGTTTATACAAGTAAAGTATATTTAAAATCAGAATAATATAAAAACTTTTACTCACGCAATCTTTCACGCGTCTTTAAAACCGCGTTAAAACGTCACTTCACCATCAACCCTATTTATATCCAACCAACACATTCACTTCTCACAATTTCTTAAATCTTTTTTTTTCTCTCTAAACAACAATGTCAAAGAACGTTTCAAGAAACTGCTTAGGTTCAATGGAAGACATCAAGAAAGTTTTCCAACGATTTGACAAAAACAACGATGGAAAAATCTCTATTGATGAGCTTAAAGACGTGATAGGAGCTCTCTCTCCAAACGCTTCACAAGAAGAAACCAAGTCTATGATGAAAGAGTTTGATCTTGATGGTAATGGTTTCATTGATTTGGATGAGTTTGTTGCTTTGTTTCAAATCAATGATCATAGTACGGATAGTAATGAGATTAGAGATTTGAAAGAAGCTTTTGATTTGTATGATTTGGATCGTAATGGAAGAATCTCGGCTAATGAGTTACACTCGGTTATGAAGAATCTTGGTGAGAAGTGTTCGGTTCAAGATTGTCAAAGGATGATTAGTAAAGTTGATTCTGATGGTGATGGTTGTGTTGATTTTGAAGAGTTTAAGAAGATGATGATTAATGGTAATGCTTGAAGAAATCGATTTAGAATTTGGGAAGATTTAATCCTTTTTTCTTTGTAAATATTGTTTTTTTTTTCTTTTATGATTTGGTCAATCTAATCTTTGTTAGGATTTAGGTTAATTAGGAGTTTTTATTTTTTTTAGGTTTTATCGATTAATCTAGAAGAATCTCTATGTTGCTTCTTTAATGGCTCTGACCTAATGTTAGGGAATATTGTTGATGACCTAATTAATCGATTAATAATAATACAAAAAGTTGATTACCTTTTTAAGACATTTATTAATATGGTTGGTTTGGTTTGGTTTGATCATGTGCATCTTGTGTCGATGGTTACACTTAAAGAACATGATCCCATGTGATCTTAACCGTATCTCGCTGGTGCATTAATTTACATGTTATTACGATCCGATTATTGTGTGTTAGCAATTAATACACAAGTATAAAAAAGAAACTAGTGTTTAATATGTCATGATTATTTTTAAGATCTCCAAGATCTTTAGATTATCCATAGGGATATTTAACTTGACATTTAGAATATTTAATAGATTCTCAAATTAAAAGATATGTTTAAGATCTTTTTTGAGATCGGAGATATATATGCCTAATCTAAAAACTATCGAGAGAGATACTTGCCTAATCTTAATCAACTTGAGAATTAAAATTAAAACAAAAATGTTCTATATATGTTAATATGTAATGTATTAATGTTCTGATTTAGGGTTCTTTTTGTACTAGGCTGATAGGCTCGGCCTAGTCCGTTGACAGCTCGATCGGCCCGTCACAAGCCCGAATCCCCCAGAAAGTCAGTCAGGTTATTATTGGGCTTTTATGGGCTTTCATTAATATAATACTTTTAGGTCAATATTGAGAATTTGATAACCTTACGCCAACATTTTGAAATGCAAAACTTAATAACGAATTAACGATCTATAAAATACATCTAGAAATTAAGATTGAAGAACATACATAGAGCATCTAGAGAATATAACTGAATAAATCCTGTTATCCAAAACATGAATACACAATCAAGTCGTCATCATCAACTTTTTTTAACACCAACTTCTATAAATCTGCAAAAGTGAAAGATCATATGTTTATGAAAAACTCATGATCCAGTCATATAATTTCACAACATTAAATTATATGAACAACCAATTCATCACATTTCACAACATTAAATTATATGAACAACCAATTCATCACATTTCACAACATTAAATTATATGAACAACCAATTCATCACATCACCAGTCTCATCATATGCTAAAATCTCTTCCTAAGCTATTTGCTATTTTTGTCTTTAGTATCAAAATTACATCTTCAAACTCTGCATAAGTCATAACTATATATAATCTTATAAATTATCATAAAAATATTTTAGAGAAAATGAATACTTCATCTAATGATAAAATACAAAATAAATGTTACTTGATTTGGATAATAATAGAAAAATATTTTTGATATTGGATTTTATGGTGTATGGGAGAGTCTATTGATAAGGTGATGAGAGTTTAGGAATTGGAAGAAGTTATATTTACTCTCATAATGATAAAGGTTATGATACATATGTTTATATAGAGAGGAGAATGATAAACCTAATTAACCTAGTTTCCTAATATACACAAATACATAAATGCGATAATTATTAGAAATATATTCAAAGATATTCTAGATTATTCTATATCCTTTTTTTAGAGTCTTTCGTGTTACTAGATTATCGAGTTGACGTAGTTCGATCGCGTATTACTATTTTTTTGAACTTCTTATGATTTTAACATTGTAATATTTATCTAGTACAAAACCACTAGCGTATGAGTGGTCACACGGCTAAAAAGGTCTTAATTTCCATGCCATAAAACTCGGTAAAGTAACTCATTCTTTACCTATAGAGGAAGCGATGCACTTTAAAGGAACCCTAAGGGTAAGGATGATGGACGTGGCCTATTTACTAATCCGGCTTGGTTGGAATAAAATTAAGACCATCGATAAATGATCTAAAATGAAAAAAAAACAAACAAAAAAAGACATGATGGACCTGGCCTATTTACAAGCTCATCATAGGCCCATTTTTGGTAGAACAGTTCCATAGTTATCAATGATACACGTCCTGCTGTACGTTCTTCTATGTATTTTGTCTTTGTTTGCGACAGAATCTAATAGATATCTTACCTTGCATAAGCGAATAGAGAAAGAGAGACTGTTGACAAAAATAAAATATATGAGAGAGACTGAAAGAGACTGTGACAGAGATGTTTTGTGTCCACGGGAATGGATTGTGAGTGGAATGGTAATAATATGTAGACACTTCTTTAATTGTTTTTGTCTTGACATCGTCGATATTTTCAGTCTTAGCTTGGTTTTTTACTTCTATGTGTCACTCTCAATGTGTGTATTATTAAGTTACAACTTCCATAAAATATTTGTTTATCAAAAAAAGAGTTTTAATTATTTACCCATTTAAAGTTTTGAATATGTACTAAACGACCAAAATTTTGAGAAGTAATTTGCGAAACAACAACGTAAAAAACAGGAGTACTGTGGCTGCAAGTTGCAGAGTTTTAGGTTGAAAGTTGAAACTGGACAAAATACTTTCAGGCAAGATCTTTATCATTTGAATCTATAGGATTTAATTGGTACCATTTCCTATTTAATCATTTATTAAGGTTTTCAAAAGATGACAGTCAAAGGAGGTGATATGAGTTTGCGGTAAAAAAATGGTAAAAGTATATTTTTATGTTAGTTTATTTATAGTTTTTGTTTTTATTTTAAAGTGTTTACTAAAGTGTTACACAAATAATTGTTTAAATTTTAAAATCTCTCTTTTATATATCTTTTGCAAATTTTTTATATCAAATACTATTTAATTTACTGCATCTTTTCTATTCTTACCAAGCGGAATATAACTCAACCGCCAATTCTTACCATGTCATGACATTTTTTTATAACATGTTCAAAAGCTCACTCTCACATCTACTTTATAAAAAGAAAAAAAAATTGAGTAACATAACATGAGCGTTAATATATATCATCTATGATTAAACTCACCATATGTAGGTCAAAAGAGCAATGCTTTATAGATAGCATAATATTTTGTCAATTTTATACAATTGTTCACTGTGAAGCCAAGTGGTATATACTAGTACTTTTGTTGTATCATTATCATAGTTCAAATCCTTGTAATCTATTTTGTAAAAAGAAAAAGCAAACAACCATTTACCGTCGATATTTTTCTTTTATTGTAACAGTAAATTTTACAATACAACTTCCAAAGAGCAGTACGCTCGATGAGGAGAGAGTGCAATGGAAGGAGACATTGTGAGACATCAACTCCAACCACGCAACTCATCATTTGGATCGACAAAAAATTTGAAACCAACTCTCAACGATTCGGGCTATGGACGATAAGAGACCATGCTTCCAAGCTTGGTTTGCCTCTAGAATTTAAAATTTGTAATCTCTCAAGTTTATTTCTATCTCCAATTCTCAAATTATTCAGAAACATTTGCATTTGATGTAACAACCGTTATATAATTCAATATTACATTCAAAAACAGATATTTTACAATCTAAAAGTGATATTCAGTTTTTATGTATTTCAAACTATCTGGTGTTCAAAAAAAAAAAAAAAAAGTATTTTAAACAATCCAATAATAACCGTGGATAAAAAAATCAAATATGTAATAAGAAAATATTTACTATTCCTGTGTAATAGAATAACGCAGTTGATGATAAAGAATTAGTAAGGGCTTTTTGTGTAGAAAAAGAGAAAGGAACGTGCATGGTCATCGTCCACGAACAATTTTCCAAATGAGACAGAATTTCATAAAAGCGGTAAGGTGTCGAGTCGTCTTCATATAAAAGTTCATTTCACACTTTGGATTCATCCCACGAAGGTAATCATACACAATAATTGTTTATTCTTTCAAAATGATAGAACTTGATTATACTGTTATGGACTTTTTCCGACATTTATATGATAATACTAGAAAGAATAAACAATTTTCAGTACTTGATTGTTATTTTTAACGGTTTCTTATCCCATGTAAATTTTATTTTAAATGATATTTATTCAGCAAAATTAGGTTTTAAAATGTAAAAAAAATGAAAAATCGCATATTATCTGAAACCCATATTCACAACAAATTCTGATTCTGTTTTGAAAAATAAACTTGACTTAATGAAACGTACAATTGTTTTTCTAACCATTCTTTAGTGGTAAACTTTAACTTTGTATATATTTGCAAAGAATGAAATGTAATACCCCGGTTTCAGGAATATAGTGGTGCATGCATAGAGGTTTAAAAGAATTGATTTGGCCACCTATGTCACCAAAGTGCACTTATCTTTTCGGTCAACTGTCATGAGATAACTCAACAGTTAAGCGTGCTTCGGCTGGAGTAGTTTTAGGATGTGTGACTTTCCGGGAAGTGATTGTCGGAACTGTGTGAGTGAGGACAAAACACAGGGAAAGATCATGTGATGATTTGTATGGTTGGTAAACAAGTCTTTAAAACCTCTGTCACCAAAGTGCACTTATCTTTTCGGTCAACTGTCATGAGATAACTCAACAGTTAAGCGTGCTTCGGCTGGAGTAGTTTTAGGATGTGTGACTTTCCGGGAAGTGATTGTCGGAACTGTGTGAGTGAGGACAAAACACAGGGAAAGATCATGTGATGATTTGTATGGTTGGTAAACAAGTCTTTAAAACCTCACGGACGTAGCGGACCGGCCGTCGGATAGGGGTGGACCATGGACCCAAGAGAGGACGTGGGACCCACTGGTAGAGGCGGTCGGGACGTTACAGAATATATATCTTAAGGTATTTTCTTTTATAGCGTTCATGCAAAATATGACTGGTAGGTTCGTTATAGCTCTTTATAAAGTTGAATGGTAGATTTGTGTGCGTGGACCATTGTCCTCTTCTCTTCGAGTTAAAACTTTACGTAATTCAGTAATCAGGACTTACTAAATTCATTAATCAGGACTTACTTAGTTGTCAATTACGTATAACTCTTTCTTTGTGTAATTAATAAATAATCCACTTTTAATCAAATGTAAAGTCGTTTATTTACGTTGTTGCATATACGACATTGAACATGTTGGAATTGGTAGATTCATTCGTTACACATGTACGTGTGTAAACTTTCAATATAATAAAACACTAATCAATCATAAGTCCTTTCATGTTCTCGGGTTGGCCCATATTAGCAACCATGAGGTGTGCCGGTACAGACGTACGTATAAGAAACTGCATTATTATACACGAACATACTTAAACAAATCTAATCAATCTTTGCAATAGTTTTAAATAATACAATTTCAACGGTTACGGTTAGAACAACTTGGCAAGTCCAGCCAAAAAGATGTAGACGTTGCCGTATGTTATATCTCTATTGCTTCATTGATACATGCACAATACACAATACACAATACACAATACACGTATGCTACGGAGTTATATTGATACAGGACAACAACAATGGTCCAAAACTTGTAATAAGGACAAGAGGTTCTTTTAAGAGGAGCGATGAAGAAAGATAACAAAAATTTGGCGAAAGGTTCCATGCATCTTTTGCTTTTTTTGTCCCATGCAATTATAGTTCAACCCGAAGAAAATGGATATTAGTTGCCAAATTTTTGTTAACATGAAGTCCATAGCTTTTCTTTTAATAGTTTTACGTAAATAAAAAATTTGATTACTGATTAAATTACTAGCAAATATGTTGTAAATGAATTTGATACAAATTATTGACTAATACCAGCGAAAATAGTTTTGTAATAAGCTTTTTATGTAGAGAAAAATTGTATTACGTTGCAGAGTCAAAAAAAAAAATTTGTTAAAGGATGCAGTGTTAAAATTCCTCATGATATATGGTATAATATCTTTGAGAAAAATATATGTATCCTAATTATAATTTTATCTAAAAATAAATAAAAAGGTTTGTACTTTGTGCCTTTGTAGTTCGCAAAGTCAACTAGTTTTTTTTTTTCCTTTTTTTTTTAAAACTGCAACAAGTAAACTAATTTCACTCTTATGTTACCATATTTTTCCACAGAAGTTAGGAATCTAAACTGGAGTTATTTGCATGGAAAAATTACTTCACAAGTGATGAGAAAATGACATCAGCTGTTTTATATAGAGATATCAACACTTTTGCGCAAACATAATAGGATTTACTAAAAGAAAAGTCCTTGTCAGTTGTCACATAATTTGTTGAAAACAATTGGACTCGACACTTCTCTTTAAACAGCCAGAATCATCTATGAAGGTAGAAAATAAAATCTTATCAGTTTAATTAATTTTCAATGCAACTACACATACTTTTATTTGTGGCTAGTTTTTTTTCCTTGTTGATGTTAAACCGTGAAAGTTCCGTACCCAATTCTTATTGAAAGAATAACCCTGTCCCAAAAAAAAAGAGTGAACTGAGGACAAAAAAGAACCAACGCCTTTGTAGTATCACTAAAAATTTGGGATTTACAGAGGATTTTTTACCTCTAATGTTTGATAAGAAATAGAAGAAGAATAAAAAAGTATCAGAATGTCGAGAAACAACTCATACTTTGTTATGAACAAACCAAGATCCTTACACGTACAAGTTATACTGTCTCCATTTTTCGTAACCCTAGCTACTTGCTTCCATTATTGTTTCAACTTTCAAGTGAATAACAAAAATTGGTATATATATAACTATATTTGTAACTTATAAGTACAGAAAAACTAACTTTATTTAAATATTAGACCAAAAATATAAACTTGACCATACAATCTGCCTAGTTTGCCATAAGACATCTTTTCGTGTTCAAACTTTCTTCTGCTTCTGATATTCTTAATTGAATGATTTATATTGTAACAAACGTTGCCACCTTTGAATTTAATTTAGTATACTTCAATCAATAATTTTTTTCCCTTTGTAAATAATATTTATATACTAATATTTTTTTTGTTTCAAATTAAAAGTAAAAACAATACAAACTTTAAAGATGCCTAAAGTCATTTATTCATACACACTAAATACGGAAGCAAACCCACACACAAACTTAAACAAACGGTGAGAAACACTAGTCAAGTTCTACAGTCTCTCCATCAAACAGACTCCAAAGTTGCTCAAGGTCAAACCCCAAAGTGGCCCCCTGTTCAGTTGTCGTTTCTTCCGGAACTATGGCATCTGCTTCTTGGCTCTCCTCTAGTAAATTCTCCAACCACATATTATCTCCATTCATTAGATTATTAACAAAATCATCTTTCTCATCATCTTTGTTACATGTGATACTATTTTCACAAACATTATTGTTGTTGAGTCCAAGGCATGAAGGAATTAAATCAACTTCTGGCAGACCACTGAGATGGCTACAGCCATTGTTTACGGAGAAGGATCGAGGTTGAGGCTTAAAAACATTGATTTTTTGGCTACAGCCATTGTTTACGGAGAAGGATCGAGGTTGAGGCTTAAAAACATCGATTTTTTGGACCGGTGTTGTAGGAGGGGAAATGATGTTTTTCTTTTTCATTTTAGTCTTACAACATGGTTCATGTTTCTTACTCAGATGGGTGTTCCAGTAATTTTTGACATCATTAGCGGTCCGACCAGGCAATCGACCAGCAATCAGGGACCACCTAAACATTGTTAAACAATATACATATAAGTTATTAGTGTTGAACTTATGGCTCTCGAAATAATTAGTATCGAGTAAACAATACCTATTTCCGAGAAGCTTATGAAGGCGAAGAAGAAGATCAACTTCATCAGAGCTAAATCTTCCTCTCTTGATACTTGGCTTTAAATAGTTCAACCATCTTAGTCTACAACTCTTTCTGCACCGGTTTAGCCCTACGAAACCAATAATGGACATTAATAATACCAATTAAGAAAGCTTTAGTGTCTCCATCTATATTTTTTTTTATCTTTTATCTTGAAGAATCTAAGCACACCAATAGAAATAATTTACTGTTCCAACACGTTAGTACAGAAATTTTCAGTGAGATCACTCACTCACAAGGACAACCCAGTAAAAGAATTTAACGATTTTACAGAGGTTAGCATCTTCCTTGGTTGTGAAGAATAAGTTATATATATGCAACGTGAATAAAAATAGTATCTTATTTTGTATCTTTAGATTTATGTAAAATTATTCGTTTAGGTCCAACATAAAAATGAACAGCATAAATAATTTTAATGAATCACCATTTTTTTTTTTTTGTTTTACTCTACACTAGCATGAAACAATAATTTATTCATTAATTAAAACAATAAAAAAGTAAAATAATGATTTGTGTACCCGGATCTTATTTAATTTTACGAATCTTATATAGAAAGAAAGGAGAATATTCTTTGTGATGAATATTTTGTGTGTAAATAACATACCAGCTCTCAAAGGAACTTGGTGCCATTTGCCTTCACCATACTTATCAATACATTGCTTCAAGAGACTATCTTCTTCAGCAGTCCATGCACCTTTTCTTAACCCTTTCGACGAACCTTCCATGGAGCAAAGATAAATATAAAAGTATCTGAAAAAGTAGACTTTTAAGAAAAAGGTCGTGGAATGGGGATTGTGGCTTCCCAAATCTTCGGAGGACTTATTGACAATGTGAGCATTTGAGCGAATATATACACACGTGAAGGAGATAGAAAAATGACGTGCATGTTGGATATCCACATTTCATGTATTAGTGGTCGTGCTTAATTTGCTAAGTTATTGGTTGGTTACTGATTTGACTAGAGTCTAGAGATAAAGTTCATAGCACCTTTTTCCAGTACTTAAAACATATTTCTTAACAAAATTAGGAGAAAGGACGATTAATGATTGGTCGCAGATGGTTTACATGATTATAAGAGATAGTAATTTCATGCACATGAATGAAATAGAACATAATAGAGAAATAGGGTGGACGTATAACAAAAAGGGTTTGTTAGTAAAAGACGTAGTTTTAAGTTTGTTATTAGGAAAATGTGTATTTTTAAGTTCTAACTAGATTTTAACCCGCGGTACACCGCGAAATTATTTATTTTTTAAAGTTAGTATATATAAAATTTTATAAATTGTATATCCTTATTTTATAGTTTACAATTGTTATTAAGTAACGGTATACCACGAGTCCACGAGACAATTGTTAATAAACTGAGGATTTAACCCGTATTAAATCGGCATGTTAATGATATTTTAAAATTTTATAAATATTGATTCAAACTCTTCCGCCATATAAACCCGTTCCGAAATATAACTCATCCCGTAATTTCTTAACCCGTCCCGTGATTTATTTTCTAAAAGTAGTAATTTTAAAATTTAATCATTATTTATTATATATAAAAATTTACAAATTGTATCATTCCCTTAGACATTTATATTTTAATAAACTGAGGATTTAATCTGTATTAAAGCGGCATGTTAATGATATTTTAAAATTTTATAAATATTGATTCAAACTCGTCCACTATATAACCCCGTTCCGAAATATAACTCATCATATAATTTCTTAACCCGTCCCTTGATTTGTTTTTTAAAAGAAGTAATTTTAAAAATTTAACAATTATTTATTATATATAAAAGTTTGCAAATTGTATCATTCTCCAAGATATTTATATTTTATAGTTTACAATTGCTATTAAGTAACATTATACCACGGGACAATTTTGGGTTTTATACAATCTTTTCTAAGTGAGACTGATTTGATATGTTTAATATTGGTGATATTAAAAAACAATTAAGGATTTAATCCATATTGAAGCGGCAGATTAATGATATTTTAATTTATTAATTAATGTTAATTGAAAACCTGTCCCGCCAAACCCGTTCCGCCAAAAAATCCATTTATTTGATTAATGTTGATCTTATTTATGATATGATTCTGAATCATTGTCTAAATATTTTAGTCGATGTGGAACGTTAAACACACATTTTTCGTCAATTGGATAATATATGTCCGTTTTAAAAATTTCGAATCACAGTATATGCAGAAAAAATATTGATTTTTTTTTTTTACTTTATATATTATATGATGACTCAAAACAGTTAAAAAGAAATCAAACAAAGATGATAGGAGAATCATATTTCTAAATTTTAATCAAATATTCTAAATATCTAAATTATTAAATATGGAATATCCGGTGTATGAGTTAGGTTAAATATAACCCGACCAAACAAATTTTTTATGACTAAAATTTGTAAACGGATCGGATTGTATCCAAATGCATTTTGCCTCACCCGCTAAAAATGTACTTCAAAAATAGTAGTATAGATTGAATATTAGGTAATTTTGTAGTTAGTTTTGTAGGGTCTACAGACTACACTATATAAATGACGAAAAGTTCTTGTTTTTACTTTTTAGTGAATAGCCGTCTAGGCCGATTTTTTAATATTGGTTTTTATATATATTTTTGATGTGGGTTCTACACAAATAAGAACCAAAACACATTTTCTCTCTTTTAGTCATATTTTGATTTTGATTTATTATCGAGTAAATTTCTTTAATTATACATGATTTTTTTTGGAACAAATTATTTTTTTCTCTGATAAATTGGTTAACAACATATTTTATCACAATATTTTTTTTATTTAGTTAAAAACTTTATATTATAGTTTACTTTAAGTTTGTTACAAAATTAAAATTTAACATCTATGTATACCCTTAAGTTTTCCTAAATTTTAGTTTCGCAAATAAATTATTTTTAAATTTTACTTGCTTAACTACAAAAAAAAATTAACATGTGTACTTCGCGGGGTACAAGACTGTGTATCTTGTAGTGTATTCTACGGAGTACATGGTGGTGTGCTCTCTAGGGTATATGATGGTGTACTCTCTAGGGTACATGACAGTGTACTCCGCGAGGTACAAAAACGGTGTATGTAGTACGACACACGACGCTCTACTCCGTAAAGTACATGACAGTGTATTCCGCGGGATACATAAAGGTGTCCTCTGGGTACATGAGATTACACTTTGCAAGGTACATGATGGTGTACCCCTAGGTACATACCTGTGTACTTTGCATGCTACATGACTCTGCATGATAAATGACAGTGTACTCCCCTAGGTACATGATAGTGTACTTTCCTAGGTACATGATAGTGTACCCCGCGGGATACAAGATGATCTACCAATGTACTTCACATGGTACAGGATGATGTATTCTGTGCAATACATGACGGTGTACTCACCAGAGTATAGTACGGCGTACTCTGCGGAGTACATTACAATATACTACATAGGAGACATGATGGTCTACTTAACAAGATACACGGTGGTTTACTCCGCATGGAATACGACGTTCTACTCTGAAGGGTACAACACGGTGTGCTCTACATGATACATAAGGGTGTATTCCGCAGAATACAAGATGATGTACTAGGGCTCATGTAACAATGAGATAACCGGGGCAGTTTTCAATGGTTTAGGTGGAGTTTTCTTTGTTTACGGCTCTGGAGGAACAGGAAAAATATTTATTTGGAAGACACTATCTGCGGCTATTAGGTCTAGAGGTCTAATATGTCTTAATGTCGCCTCCAGTGGCATTGCTTCTTTGTTGTTGGAAGGAGGAAGAACAGTACATTCAAGGTTTTCTGTTTGCAAGATCAAAGCTAAATCAGATTTAGCAGATTTGATTAAAGAAGCATCTCTCATAATCTGGGATGAAGCGCCAATGATGAGCAAGTTTTGTTTCGAAGCTTTAGATAAAAGCTTCTGCGATATTATCAAACACGCAGAGAACAAGGTATTTGGTGGAAAGGTAGTTGTATTTGGAGGTGATTTTAGACAAGTACTTCCAGTAATTACTAATGCTGGTAGAGCAGAAATTGTTATGTCATCTCTAAATTCTTCATACCTTTGGGATCACTGCAAAGTTTTAAAGTTGACCAAGAACATGCGACTACTAAACAACAGTTTAAGTGCTCAGGAAGCTAAAGAAATCCAAGAATTCTCAGATTGGTTGTTGGCTGTTGGTGATGGTAGGATCAATGAGCCTAATGATGGTGAGGTGGTGATAGATATTCCTGAAGATTTGCTGATTACAGAAGCAGACAATCCAATAGAAGCAATTACTAGGGAAATTTATGGAGATCCAACTAAGCTTCATGAAATCCGTGATCCTAAATTCTTTCAAATGAGAGCTATTTTAGCACCAAAGAATGATGATGTCAACACAATCAATCAGTATATGCTTGAGCATTTGGATAGTGAGTATACTTTAACCCTTAACTATTTACTTGCTTATTATATAATCATTGCTAAGTTGCTACTGTAAACAACTAATCATATCCCTTTTTTTTCTACAGGTCCAGAAAGAATTTATCTATCTGCTGATAGTATAGATCCTTCAGATTCTGATGCTCTTAACAATCCTGTTATTACTCTAGATTTCTTAAACAGTATCAAGGTTTCAGGTTTGCCTAATCATGCTTTGCGTTTAAAGATTGGTGCTCCTGTTATGTTGCTTAGGAATTTAGATCCTAAAAGAGGCCTTTGCAACGGCACTAGACTTCAGATTACGCAGCTATGTAATCAGATTGTGGAAGCAAGAGTTATAACAGGAGACATGATTGGTGATATCATTTTTGTTCCTCTCATAAACATTACACCTTCAGACACCAAACTGCCATTCAAGATGCGTAGAAGATAGTTTCCACTATCTGTTGCATTTGCTATGACTATCAATAAGAGTCAGGGACAATCTCTTGAGCGAGTTGGACTTTACTTGCCTAAACCAGTCTTCTCTCATGGCCAACTATATGTTGCGTTGTCTAGAGTGACTTCTAAGAAAGGTTTGAGAATACTAATACTCAACAAAGAAGGTAAGCTTGAGAAGAAAACAACCAATGTTGTTTTCAAGGAAGTGTTCCAAAACATTGACTGACGCATCAGTACTTAGACTTTATCTACAACGAAAGCCTTGAAGGAGGTAAGTTTAGTTACCATTTCCTTTTTAAGATTTCAATTATGGTCTAAAAAAACACCACACACAATTTTAATGCATCAATCTTTGTTTTTTCTATTGCAGGAACCTGATTTCTAATCAACCAGACAGTTTCAACATCAAAGATGCAAGGAGATCGGCAATAAAATGTCTAACTTCATACTGAACTGTAGTAAAATTCATTTTCATACTCTAAGTTCTGCAATTTCCGTTTAAAATAAAACAGACAAAGTTGCTGTACCAACATGATTGGTTTCTTGAGACTAACCTTGTTTTCTTAGGTAGTTGATGAATTCTCCTCTTTCTATTTTTTGACTTCTGTGTCCATCTTCGTAAGACTTTGTGCTGGATTTTTGCTCAGTAAACTAGCATATTTCAAAGTGAACTTAATATCAATAGTTGGACAAACTTTTTAAGCTAATCTCAGAATTTCAGAAAACATGATACATGTTTCTATTTTTATAAATAGTAGATAAAAGAAAAAAGTTTGAGAATTTATTTTATTTACGTAATGAATGAAATTGATTGCATGACAAAGGGCTTGCTATAGTTTTTCAAATGGTTTTTAGTTTTAGTTTTTCCAAAATTTAGTTTATAACCAACCATTCAAGATTTTGAGAAAAGTGGATTCCCTAAGAAATAGGAAATCTAGATTCTAAGGGTTTTT